AAGTGATTATGGCACACTGCTCTTCACGTTAATTGTTTGGCAAATGTCATACTGTAAAAGCAAATCCCTCTCTTGCACTTAGAGTACCCTGTCATGCGGCCAAGAGGCCCCTGCAAGATGCTTACAGGAGCACCCTCCCTGTAGAACAGTTTGTGAGCATTTCATAAACAGTTTCATGAACAGTTTGGGAGCATTTCCACATGGAGCACCACTCAGAGATAAGCGAGTTATTTTATTCCTACCTCTTTACACCAGGAGAACTGAAGTACAGAAAAAGCCCAGATCCTCTGTGGTGCTCACATGCACAAATTCCCCCCTTGTCTAAGTTCATCCCACCAGACTTCCACAATGTGACTGACTGGAAGGTTTACCCTTAAAAATCAGTTCTCAACCAGACCACTTTGTTGCATCCCCTTCTGTCTCCCCAGAGCCAAAAAGCTGGCTTGCCCACCAAGGGCAGATCTGGGTCTCAAGCAATGCATGACCAGATTTCTGAAAGACATCAGTGCCAATTATTTGAACATCTGGCATCATTTGGTTCTGGTGTTTGGTTTTGTTTTTAAATAAACTGGGCCCTAGCACAGGAAACGTGTTCATTGGCATTGGAAGAACGACAAGTGTGATGAGCTATTCCTCCCAAGGAGTAAAGCAGAGGAGAGTAAGACAGCTTAGCACAGCCAGAGCTATCAGAGCAGAACCAGCACCTCTATGATAAGCTGGATGGACATGGCAGGAACAGCTGAGTCTTCTTCATGTGAGTGCCCATGAAGGTGCCAGTGGTGAGGCTGCAGTGCTATGGTCAGATTACCACTAGGCAAAGAAATTCAGGACCTTCAGACTTGTTGCATATGTGACAGTTAGTGCCAGGCTGCTGGTGCTCTTTGCTGTTGTTTGCTGGTTTTCATTTATAAAAAACCAGCAAATAGAGCTATTGGCATCTCAGGAGATGCCTGGTTCAAGATCAGGTTCTGAGAATAAGGAATCTGCTCTATATCACAATGACTGTCACCTGCACTCTCTGCTCCACTAACCAGATTTATTGTAGGGCTGCATCAAACAAATGGAGTCATAAGTTGCACTGTCCCCAGGGCAACTGGATGGATTAAAATAGCCAAGACAATGATGAATGCTGCCAAAGGGTGTTGATATTGGGCTGCTGGATCTCTGGTCTCTGGACATGAAACAGTCTTTTCACAGGGAGGCTCCAGTTACCATTCTCAGCAGCAGAGGGGAATTGACTCCTGTTTCCTCTGCCTTTTCTATCGAAGGGGCAGCCAGGCTCTGTAGTAAAGCATGCTGACTCTCCACACTTTTGAGAATGAAAAACTTCCTATCTTCAAATTTAACTTTCACCTGCCTCTCTCCACCACTCTAAAAATCAGCGAAATAAAATGTAGATTTAAATGGGCAGCAAAGTACTGTGGACCCTATGCAGCTCCTGCTGAAATCAGCAGTGGCAAAATTCCTTGTCATTTAAATGACATGGGAGAAAGCATATGGTTATAAATTTTGTATGTGCATTGGTATAATATTCTTTGTGTGTGTCCATGCACGTGTATTTTATGTTGTATAGGCTTATACAGGTATAAGTACACTAAGGAGAGATGAGCACCTATTTATAGGCAGGCAGCAAATCCACATGTGTGTACATGTATATGTATGTCTGTGTGCTGCTAATGTATGTTTAAATTGGCATCAGGCCAGGACTGGATGTGTTTGTAAAGTGTGTACATAAAAGCTTGTCTGCTCTCCCATTGCAGAAACTTGAACCAGATGTGAGCTGTGATGGAGGCCTTTGTTTTACGAGACCTTCTCTCTTGGTGGATATTTGTATAGGATATTGATGCAATGGAAAATCTAAATTGATAATGGATCATTATCTGCTGGGCTTCAAGGAGAAACTCTGTGTATAGCCCTGTCAGGTACAAGCTCCTTGTATGAGGCCATAGGAAGGGACCTCCCGGGTGTATGCACAGGGAGAAAGTCACAACGACCAAAATCAGCACTAGAGGGGTCCTGCCTCTAGCCAGGTAGAGGCATGGGATAACCACTGTTCAACTGTGTGGATCTGATGGCCGGGCATATCAGAGCCATGGGAATACAGGCCTTGGCTGACACTGGTGCACAGTGCACTCTGATGCCATCAGGGTATGTGGTGGCGGAGCCTTATTTCTATTTCTGGGGTGATAGGGCGTTCTCAAAACTGATGGTGTTAGAAGCTGAAGTGAGCTTAAAGTGGCAGAGACACCCCATGTATTCTGGGTATTGATACAAAGATCCAAAAGGACATTGATAGGCTTTTGGGATATCTGCTATAGAGACAGAAGGGATTAAACAGCTGAGTGTGTTTTCTGGCCTCTCAGAGGACCCTTCTGCTGTGGGACTGCTAAGAGTTGGGGAACAGCAGGTGCTGATTGCCACCACAATAGTGCACTGTCAACAATACCACACAAACTGAGACTCCTTAATCCCCATCCATAAGATGATCCATGAGCTGGGAAGCCGAGGAGTAGTCAGCAAGACTCACTCACCCTTCAACAGCCCCATTTGGCCTGTGCATAAGCCCAGTGGAGAATGGAGATAGACAGTGGCTTGAATGAAGTTACCCCATCGCTGAGTGCTGCTGTGCCAGACATGCTGAAGCTTCAGTATAAACTGGAGCCTAAGGCAGCCAAGTGGTGCCACCATCAACATTGCTAATGCACTTTTCTCCATTCCTTTGGCAGTAGAGTGCAGACCACAGTTTGCTTTCACTTGGATAGGCATGCAGTGTACCTGGAACCGACTGCCCCAGGGTTGGAAACACATTCCCACCATCTGCCACGGACTGTCATTAGAGGTCCTACCTCCTGAATATATTGTCATTAAACCGAGACAACAGGGGAGGAGAAGTCAAGGAGAGTAACAATAGATGGTCTTATCATAGCAGTGGCCAGCCCAGCCTTGTGCTGACAGATGATCCCCTGCCAGAAAATATGACAAAGGAGGTGGGTTTTTGGCAATGCTGTCCTCAGACACTCAGCTCTCACAGAGGAACTGTGATCCTGGGGAAGGCCAGGAGCAGGCTTTCTGCTTGGGGGAGAAGCAGGGGTTATGCATGGGCCGTGGCACTCAGAGAATGACTCAAAATCAGAGCAGTGCATCTGTTCATACCCAGAAGAAATCCATCCATTGCATCTATGTGAGCTGTACTTAATTGGTTGCGCAGCTGCGGCCACCCAGGTCTGCCTGCTCATACACATGGATTATACAGCCCCATTTCCAGCAACCTCCTTCTCACTTGGTGTGCATCTTTCCTTCCCCCAGCCCCATCCTCCCTTGTTTGCGTATTTCTGTCTCCAAAGAAAACACTGTGGGAAAGATACGTTTCTTTTCAGCATCATGCTGACCCCCTTTTCTCCTCCTCTGAAGCCCTGAAATTAATTAAATGATGTCACGCTTGATTTTATCTGATTTGGAAGCAATTCATAACCCTTTTGCTAGTTCTATTAGTCCAAGTGATCAGCACATTAATTCATTTGTGAGACTAAGCTCAAGGGTAATTACAATGAGGAAGCTTAATGCCTAAACGTATTAATGTCTGTAATCAGAACTATTTTCTCAGTGCGGAACAATTGTTAGACAATTACACTTGGATATGATTGCTCTGGTAGGCAACAGGCGCTGTGTCAAGAGGGGAATGGCAGAAGCTTTTTTTGCAAGTAGTGTATTATCAGCAAATTTGACTCTTTGCAATCTCTCTTGGGGATTCTGTGCAGCTTGCCCCTTCTTCAGGTTTTGCGTTATTAAATAAGTTGTAAAGTCATCCCTCTCTTTTTTGAGGCTGGGTTATGTGGGGCACAGAGGAAAAGAAACTCCTCTGTTGTCCTTTTCTTTCTGTGGGACCGCAGCAGCATAGCAAGGGCCACAAGGCCTTTCTGAGCAAGGTCATTTCCTCTTTTCTCTTCTCTTCTGACTGAGCTGTTGGTGCCTTTCTCTAACAAGAAAGCTTCAAGCTTTATGTCAGGTGTCCTAAATGCATCTATCTCCTCCAGGCCTAGCTCTTGAAGGAAGTTAGAAAATTACAGCTAAATGTACAAAGTTTAACTTCTAATAAAAAAGAGTGTCAGGAAATACCCTGTCTGTGCCATCACCCTGCAACAGCCTGTGTGATACCCAGTGCTGATGTCTGGGGATAACAGCATCATGTGGGATGAGCAGGCATGCTGCAGACTGCATGGATGCCATGTTCCAGCAGGATTTTGGGGAAAGATGTAGCTCTGGCTCATGCCTGCACAGGGTGGGCTGTGGTGGGCAGCAGTATTGCTTGGCCATACAGTATGTTTCCATTGTGCAGCAGGAAAAGCAAGGAGGCACAGTGAGGGGTGAGGGATCAGGACTGCAGCAATGAGCATGATGCCACTGCAGAAGCAATCATGCCCACAGCCTGAACCAAGGGAAGATGGGTCAGCCCAGGACCTCCAAGCTAGTGGTTCAGGGCAATTCAGTCTTTTGGACTAATGGCCCCTGTCCATCTTACCCTTCCTCCAGCCGGCGTGTGGCATTTGCAGGTGGGGTATATTCAGTCTCTAAGACCACTAAAAGTGAGGATGAATTTGCTGTAGTCCCTGTGAACTGGATGGTGTGTCTGGGCAGAGGGACGGCCAGGAACCCCACAGAGTCATTTCTCTTCCTCCCTGGGCAGCCACAGTGACTTCCACTGTTGCCAAGTGAGTCCAAGCACTTTGGCTTTTCAGTTGGGGAGAGATTTTATTCCAGCTCAACCTGGAGGTCCTCGAACACACAAGGCACTGTACGTTGCAGAAATTCTCTTTTGGGGTAATGTCCCATACACTGCTGCTCTTGAAAAATGCATTTCTTGGTATTTGAAGAAAAACCTCTGGCTGTGCTGGATTGGCAGCATGCTCAGAGGCCTCTGTGTTAGTCCTTAGCAGCAGTCCCAGCCTCCTGCCACAAATGAGGCAGGGCCAGAAATGAGTTTACAACGATGTGTTTTGCAGGCACGGTGAAGGTTGTGCCAGTGACAACTACGAGAAGAGCTGTCTTCTTGGGTGGTTTCAGAGGCTATCTACACCCAAAGAAAGGTAAGATAAATCTAAAGTTTCTGTTGTCATTAGTGGTATAGGTAAAGAACAAATGCTTCTTTTCTTTAAGAGAGCAATCGTTTCTGGTCTCCAGCTGGATTTGCAAAGGGGCTGTGGCAGTGACCACCTCCTCTCTATACATCTGATGTGGCAGGACTGATATTAGTACCTCCCTGCTTTCTCCAAAATCTAGGGTACAACAAAACCCTGCTGGCGTGCCCTGGTGAGGTCTAAGCCCTCTAAACAGGCAGTCAGGGCATGGTGATGGTTGGGTTTGCTGTCTGTCATCCCAATGCAGTATTCCAGAGTCTTGCTGCAGGTTTGCCAAGGAGTGTCGCACAGCAAGTGAATTTTGACAGAATGATATGAAAACCAAGAAGATATCTCTGCTGTTCAGTGAGTTAAAAAAAGTACTGAAATTCAGGGCAATCTCTTCTCATCTCTTTTCACCCAGCTTTCAGGTCTGACAATAGGTAATGTAAGCACAATAGGGTGTGTTGTGGTTTAACCCTAACTCAGCAGCACACGGTGGGATGGGGAATAGTAAAACTGAGGAAACATCGGGCTTCTGATTTTTCCCTCTGCTGTCCAAGTTGCAAGGAGCAGCAGGAGACATAGCCTGTCTGTTGTGTTATGGATGTCACTCCTCTAGACTAATCCCAAGTTACTGTAGATACCATTTGAAACTATTGAACAATAGCTTCTAAAATATCCACCTACTCCTCCTCTTTTTGTCTTTATTAAAAGCTATAGAATAATTCTAACGTGACAGGAAACATGCTGCATTTTTTCTCCATTCTATTTGACTGAAGTGAAGCTGCTTCCCTGCACAAAGGTACTCACCTCTGAATAGTTTGCTATTCTGAGTCCTGTTAAATTTGGAGTCAAACTTATTTTAACTGTTGCAGTCTCAGAGTCACCTGGTAGTTCTTCCATGCCCCTAGAGCTCAATGGGGTTTTGCCCCACGTACCGACAGAGACACAGAACAGTATGTTGATTCCAACAAAATACAAATGTAATCAGTTGAATGAATTAGGAGATTAATATCTCCATCCTCCTTCCTGTGTTTGGTGGTGGGATGCTTTGAGCAGTGCCCTTCTCCATCACACTTCTAGCCAGGGGTGGTGGGATAACAGATGTAATAAGAAAAAAATTTAAATTCCTCAGGAGACTCTAGACCTGGAGACCATATCCCTGTGGTCCCAGAAAACATGCTGAACCATGCTATGCCCTGATAGCTGCCTCTCTTGATTTCCACTGCAAATGCACAGTTTTAGTCCACCTGCAAACTTCTTTGTAAATTTGTCTGACAGCAAAACCCATCAGAAGAAGGAAACTCCTTGCTCACAGATTTTGGTTGCTCTGCCACTGGTTATGGCTTACAGAACCAAAGAAAACAGCGGGAACAGTAAAGTTACCGAGACTGAATTATTTTTCCCTGTCACGAGGAGGACTCCACTGGCATCAGCACAGGAACACCCCTGGGCGTTCCTGGAGAGCACAGGGCTGTGTGAAGAGGAGTGGCAGCAAACCTGAGGTCTCTTCCAGCCAAAATGATCCATCTCTCTGTCTCTGGTGCGCTCAGCTCTGCGCTCACCAAAGCTGCCTTAATCCGTCTGTCCACATACACTTGGAAGTGTCTGCTGGGCCTGTGCCCCATTCCCTGAGGTCAGTGAGCAAATGTGGGTGTGTTGGTACAGGCAAGCCAGGGCTTGCCAGGGTTGGCTCATGGTTCTGCTGCCCTTGAGGACTTGGGGGCCAGCTCAGGCCATGGTAACTGTGCTGTGGACCAGCACAGGAAAATTACTCAGCTGTTACTCCAACTTCCATGCACAATCATTTTCTCCCCTGAGGCTGTAGATACATTCAATCAAAATGAGCACATTTTACTCTTCTCTGTAAAAAATGCAAATGCAGTACAAACATGCTGCTTGATATTTCTGCATAATCTGGTAATCCTGCACAGAGCAGATAAAGTGACAGAAAAAGAAAGTTCTTGCCTCATTTCTCTCTTCTGGCCAAGACAATACATCTAATGGTAGGACATGCAATCTGTCTGTCTCAGATACACAAACAATTCCTAAGTCTGGCAGAACACATTAGGTGAGGGAATCATCCTGCTCCTGGGGGGCTGAGCATGCCCAGGGCACACAGCTCCCTGCAGACTGGCAGCAGAGATGCAGCACCCTGACAGGCACAGACTGGGGGGGCTTCTGCTGCATTTCTCATTTGGAAATGACATTTTACAGACAGTGGTGCAGGTGGGATGGCCTTTGGGTAAGACTGACATCCTTATTCAGCATTAAGCCATGTTAAGTATGTATTCCTTAACTATGGTTTATTTTCCTTGGCTTGGCAGGATTCTGGGGTGCCACAGCTCCTTTGAAACATAAAGCAGTGATGTGGCATTTAGTGTAGTAATCAACTGGGCAGCCCAAACGTGTCATCTGCTATGTTAGAAGGTAATAGAAGAAGGAAACAACTCCTCTGTGGAAAATTGCTCCCATACATAGAAAAGGAGGAGTGAAGGACAGGTCATTTCCATCCCCAGGGGATGCTTTGTGCCCCTCAGAGGCAATGGTGCACAGGACCACTCACTGTTGACTGACCTGGTGTTTGAGTAGTTGGATCCTGCTGCTGGCAAGCTGGATTTCACTGGAGCTGTGTCTATGTTTGCTTTCCAGGTTGCCTTCTCTGTGCTGTGCTGCAGTGTGTGATGCCTTCAGCCACAGTTCAGCTGCTGAGAAAGGCAGGGGGGGTTCTGCAGTCCTCAGTCCAAACTGGACCGTCAGAGCCAGAGAAACAGAGAAAGACACGGGTGCTAAAGCGGCAGGTCACAAAAGAGATCAGTTAGTTGGCTTCTCACTCAGTACAGTGAGAAGTACTTCATACCCCCTGCCCTCCCCTGTTCCCATCCCACGCCGGTCCTGTTCCCTGCCTTGCCAGGAGCACATTTTGGTACAGGGGTCTGAAAAATCATGACTATTTCTATTCTGTGGTTTCCATTGTAGTAATTCATCTGTTCAGCTCTGCACAAGGCCCTTGAATGGGGCACAGCAGCACACACCCTGTGTGACAGGAAAAAAAAAGAGGATTACTGTGGGGATGGCTGAAAGGAAAATATGATTCCTTTGCTTGTTGCTACAATCTTGTTGACTTGCCCATGCATTGCAGGAAGCAATTCATACAGATTTTCTTTGCATAATAATAGTAAAGGCTTTTTGTTTTGTGGAAAACGCAAAGGGTAGGGGAGAGGATTTATCACAGGGACAGGCACAGTCTTGGCAGAAAGTTTATATACCATTTATGCAAAATCACTTCCTGCTGCCCAAATGTTGTCTCTCTGTGATCCAACATGGTGGAGACGGTCATGTGAAGGGCTTGGGCTCAAAGGTTGTTTTGAACTCTTATTTCACTGCTGGCTCATAACAGGAGAGTGCAGCAGAGAGAGGGCAGTAGCTGGGCTTTGCTAAGACCGGCCTGCTACACAGTTTTACTTGGTGTTGGTGTTACTTTGGGTTTTTTAACTGCTTTTTGCATATGGCCTGTGTTAAAGGTCATGATTAACGTGCTTGACACCTCCTGGATTTGTGCAGCCCACTCCTGTTGTCCCAGTGCTCTGGTGACCCCCAGCATTAGCTACTGGCAGGGGTGTAGCAGTGGAAACACACACTTTTACAGTTTGTTTGTTTTTTTTTTTTTTCCTGGTAAGTAAAGGAGGCTTTTTTCAGTTGTGCTGGCTGTTTGTCAGCTACTCTTTCTGGAGAGGTGAACAGGCATGACAGGTTGGAGGTATGGAATGGGTGTCCCTTCAGAGTTGCTGAGCAAGGACTTTAGACAGACTTGACTGGTAGGAGTTAAACCCAGCAATGCCCTGCTCCGGTGGGGAAGATGGTTTTGAATGGAAGGTGGCAAACAGCATGGAAAGAGTTTTCTAATTTTAATTTTTTTTAATAAAGACTCATGCCAGCTCCCTGAGCTGGGCTTGCAGGTGTGCCAGGGAACTTAACCCAGCTATTCCCAGCAGTATTATCTCTTGGAGGATGTGGAGGCTCCCTGCAGTCTCGGGGGCTCTTCCAGGGGCAAATTATTCTCACAGACATTCATGACTGCCCACACAATTTGCCGTTATGTCCCCTGTCCCCCATCGAGTCATAGCTACCATCTTCTATGTCAATTTTCTCTGTGGCTGCTGAGGCAGTCTGGGTGTTATGTGGTGGCCCATGGACTGGGACATCCCCTTGGTGGCTGCAAGATCAACTTTCTTCAGCAATGAGGCCTCAGGTTTAAGTAATTTCATATGCTTGTGTCCATCTGATTCATGAGTGACAGGGCTGCAGAGAACTTCATCCCCATTAGTGCAGTATGAAACTACTTGCAAAACCTAAACCGTGCTTTTTAGTCCCACCTTAAACACGTGAATTCCATGGCCTTTGCTGAGTTTCCCTGAATGAGCTGCAGGGGGTTTTAAATTAATATATAATAATAGTGGGTTGATTACTCCTTTCTTTTACTTTTTTGGTCAGGTAAATAAAACCCACTTGGGGAAAGGGGGCAGGGGGAGGTGTATGTATTAAAACTTGTACTGCTCATGTCTCTGGTCTTTATTTATTCTGAAGTATTGCTGAAGTTCTGATGTTATATTGTGAAGATGTTTCGTGATGTCAAATCTCAGCCTTTGCATCAGGCACTGTTTCCTCTGTGTGGTACTTCATTAGCTGGAGCCTTTCAGGGTGTGTGTGCCCCTGGGCGCAGGCCAGGCATGGGAAGAGCCCCATGGTGCAGAGATGGATGCAGTGCCAGGGGCACGGTGCCACAGCCTGCTGCCATCCTGTACAAGGGCGGGCTTGCAGCAGCACTGTTTTGCTTCACCCACCCTCCCCCCATGGAAAATATAGTTGATATTACCTACAGCTGTAAAGCATGAATGCGTAATAATGTTACCCTAACCCCCCTTCAGCAAGCAGTACTGTTACAAACAGCTTGTGCTCCTGGCAGCGCTCCCTGAAGGTAGGAGAGAAGGTACCAGCACTGGCACAGCCACTCAGGGAATTGTGTGTGTCTGCAATGACCTTTCCAGGCTGCTGGGGATAAAATGTTGAGGTCATTCATGAAAGAAAGAGTTGCAATCCAGGGACACTGGAGTGTTTTAAAATGCGCCTCAAAGAGCCAAATGACCTTTAGAGTTTCTTGATAAATGTAAAATGCTTTCCAGAGGCCTGGTAATGCAGGGCTAATGCTCTCTGGGCAGTGAGGCAGACTGGGGGCAGTGGGGGGGGTGTTTAGGGGGGTGTGTGAGTGTGGGTTTGAGTGCAGCAGTGTGTGGGGGAGTGTGTATGTAGGGGTGTGTGTGTGTGGGTAGGTGGGGATGTGTGTAGGGGTGTGTGTTGGGGTGTGTGGCTGCCCCAGCTCAGGGCCACCCCAGGGCTTTCCCCAAACAGGGTCTGAGGCTGTGGATGTGGGAAGTCCATGGCACTGGCAATGCTCAAGCCCCCCGATAAGAGATTTCACATGTGCACAGACTTTGTTTCATATTTTATTGAATTTCATTTATATTAAATTAAAAATATATTTCTGACAGATTCATGTAACAAAAAGGCAGAACAGTTCTCAAGTTGTTCAGCTGGGATGAGTGTGGGTTGATGCAAGGTGGGTCGCAGTCTACATTTGCCTTAACAAACAGATACAGCTCTACCCCAATGGCCATGAGGAGAAACTCGGGGCTGGCACATGGGCAGGGGGAGAATAGAACCACACAAAGAGAAGATCCACAGGTTTCTTCCCAGCCTCCAAACAAGACAAAAGGGGAGGGAAGGAAAAAAAGAAAAAACAAGAAACCATGAAAAGAAGGGAAATTATGCTAAATTATGCTAATATTAACCCAGGTCAGTAAGTATTTTAGCAGTGTATAATCCTCAATAGCTAAAATATGAGGAACAAAAGGTTAAAGTAACATTACGCCACACACAATTGGCTTATCCTACTGTGTAAGCAAGTGCAGAAAGTCTGAACACACCACAATAGTGCTAAAACACAGAATCACATAGAATGCCAAAAATGGTACTTCTAAACAAAACCAGAGAGTGGGAAGGGAGAGAAAGGAAAGGGGGAGGAGCGGCTTAAATCACAAGCAAATTACCTATATACAAATCAACCCTAAGGACAATTATGTTCCAAATAATGGTGTCCACAAGGAAAATAAAAGCAACATTATCCTTATTTACAAATGCAACTAGCTGTGTCTTTAACAAGCTATAAAAATACTATTCACATTTTCAAAGTAACATACAGTAGTTTTTGTATTTTTTTATTTTTATTTCAGAAAGGCAGCTAACTCTGAATGCATCACTTTGCAAGAAATGAATGTCTTCTCCAACATGCTGACACTTCTCTTCTTCTGAAGGTACTTCATAAGGCAGAAGTATTTTTATTTTTTCTCTCTGTGCTTTGAGAACACGGAGAATTGGCTAAAACCCAGACCCCCCACCATCTCTGTGTCATGGCCATCTCCCATTGGGTGGCCAGGCTGGTTCCTTTGGGATGGACTGGCTGCAGTGACTGCAGGCACCATGACCAGGGTCTCTCCCAGGAGCTCGATGCTATCCCTGTGTCTTCTCCTGGTGGGACCCTTTGATTCCAAGGGGACAGTAATGACATCCTCCAGGCCTGGGAATTTGAGCCTCATCAAAAAAACCTGGTGGTTCTGGACCACCAGGTCAGGAAATACAATTTGGCTACCTCTGTTCTTAGAAGGAGACTTCTTTTCCCCCTTAGTTTCCCTTCCCTACACTAGGCTCGCTACCTCTTTAGAAATTCCAGCTTAGAATGTTGGGGAATTAGCAAAAACTGGACAACAAAAGGGGTTAAAACCATTGTGAATAACGTATCGAATGGGTATCAATTTCCAACATTAAAATGCTATAAAAAATTACTTGTTTTCTCATTGACTTTCATTTTCCTCTTCATTACCTCACCACAAAAAGACAAGTACCCAGCACCTACCTCCAGTCCCATGTCCAAAGGAACAGTGGTTTTGTGCATTCAAAGTTAGCTACCCCCTACACAGCTGCTCAGTTAATAATCGACCCATTTAACAGCAGGACCAGTTTATGCTACATATGTCAGAGTACCTTACCTCGAAAGAACGGCATACATATCTACACTGAACTTATAAAATACCAGTCACAGTTCGGTACCGCGGTTATCCCAAAAAGGTTTAGTCTTCGGAGTGCTATGGACAATACAGTGTTTTCCCTCTAAGAGGGCTCAAAGGTTGGGCTGGGGCCCAAACTGCTGGCAAACGACAGCCAATGGCTCCATGTACCTGTGGCCCTGGTCACACCTGAGCCACCAGCCAGAGGGTGCTGGGTGGGATGTGCCTTTGCCCTGGTGGGGTCATCCACAACACAGCTGGAACACAATTTCATGGCTTTTTTTACTGAAGAGGGGAGAAGAACTGGGACGTAATTACTCACACAGCCTAATGCCTTACAAAGCTCCCCTTAAAGCCCCTCTCAACCAAGGCCCACAAAGCTCACTCCTAAAATTAAATAATAAAAAAAAGGGAAAAAAAAAAAGGTAGCTTTGACTCCTCTTGTTTCTATTGGGATCATGTCCTTGGGTTTTCCCCTCACACCTTTTCCTGGCCTGTTGGCACAGACCCCAGCTGGAGGATACCCTGGGTGGAAGGCATCCCTCTGGCTCTGCTTAGGAGGTGAGATTGGCTACAGTTCAAGCAAGTACCACCACCATCAGTCAGATCTGAACACTCACAAAGTTTCCCAAAAGATGCTATATATTGTCCAAATCTACAGGCAGCTCCCAACCATCACTGCAAGCACCACTGACAACAGCCTCACCTGTCCATGATTTCCTCAAGAGCAATGAATCCACCATCAGAACAACCTACTAATCCACACAGTGGTAAAATAAAATTGTGCTAAAACAAAATTAAAACAAAGGTGGAGACATGATTTTTTGACATTTTATAGCAGTGCTTGTAGCCACAAAGCTGTTATTTGTTCCCACTTGTAATGCTGATGACCTTTTCTACCAGTGTAACAAACACTTAGCAACAGGCAGAAAATAAAAGAGGGAATCTTGCACACAAAGTGATACTGCACAGTGCCTTCCCTGTGAGACAACCACAGCTCCCTGCACATGATGAAGCATGAGCATTACACCAACCACCCCAGCCTGCACAGCCTTGATTTTCTAAAATACAACCTGAACCCAAATCCAAGATTTTATGTAACCACAGACGAGCTGTTTTGTCAGCAGCAGAGGTCTAAGGTTCACAGCAGTGAGAATATTGCAAGTGACAGAGCTAGAAATGAGCAGAGTCTTTGTGTATCACCATCTTTTGAAAAAGCCTTGAGAAGGGAAGTCGAGATGACACCGTCCCCTCTGAGGTGCTCTCTAAGAGCCAAAGGGGTGACTGATAACCAGAGGCCTGGCTCTCATTTATGTAAAATCCTCTGTTCCATCCATCACCCTCCAGTTAGCCTTCCAAGAAGGTAAACACCAACCTGAGCTGCATAGTTCTAAAACATGCTTGAGAAATCAGGGAGGAAGCCTTGAGACACGAGCTGAACAAGATGAGGGAAACACCCATCCCAATAAGTGGGCGCTGCCCAGTGGCGAGGCCCTGGGCACTTCTGGTGCTCCCACTCCCTCCCCCAAAAAGGGTGGGCAGATACAGGGTGTGAGTGTCCGAGTCCTCATGCTTGTGGGTGCTGCAGTGGCTGCTACCCCTTCCAGAAGGGCACACCTGCCCCAAGTGCACAGGGCTGCCCCAGGGAAGCACAGCTTACTGGGATGCCTTCAGTTACTCTGAGGAATTACACAACCAACAGCCTGACTTGTGCCAGTCTCCTGATCTCCCAGATGGAATAAAGGAGTTCAAACAATCCTGTCATTCCTTTAGCTGCCACCATGATGCACAACACCTACACAGACACCCCATCGAACAAAAAAGATTTTTCCTTTAATATCTGAGGTTCCCATATAGATCCATCCCCAAAACCAAGCTGTATTTCTGGGCTGACTCACCTCACAGCTTGTACTTCTCCCCCGTACTGCCCAGCTCTACCTAAAGCTATGGAAAGAGTGGATCCACAGAGTCATGGCTGAGCTGCTCTTCCAGAGTTGTCATTTTCTTTGCTTCTAGGCTGGGATTGGTCGTGGTTGAGGGGAAAGGAAATGCTCCCCCTCACAAGTCTTTAGTGGAAACTGGTATCAGATCATTGCAGATAAGTCTTGCAGTCAAGAAACACATTTTCTACCAAATAAGTAGTACAACCAGGGTTAACACATCCTATCTTTGGACACAGAAAAAGATTTCGGGGCTGAGCTCAAGGTACCTGAAACAGACCCACATGGTGGCTTCTACTGCGGATATTAGCTCAGGTTTATTTCCATCTCTTACTGCCTGCGAGAGATGACCTGTTTAAAAGCAAGTTGTAAATACTCTGCTACATCTAAGTGAGTGGCCATGTAAGAATCCCTCCCAGCTATTTTGCAGAAAAAGAAAAATTTGAAAAGAGCTGAAGATGGGAACTTAAAAGTTGTTGTTTTCAGTCCATTGTGTTAGAGCAAGTCAATCAACTCCAGCATCCACGTCTGTTTGCAATAACCCTCAGGTAGATAATAACAGCTAAGACAAGTATCACTGAAAGAGATTAGGAAAAAATAAGCTGTTGTTCTCTTTCCTTTAGTGTGTTTCTTTGTGCCTTGGACAACGGCTGATACACACTTGGGTAAAAACTTGCTCTTCAGAAGTTGGTCGCCACTCTTCTGTCATTCCTTCCCCATGATACGGGGAAGGAGAACATTCACAAATAGGAGACTGCATTAAAAAAATCCATAAAAACCAAGTGTTCCATGTTCTCTGTAGAACTAGAGAGTGAATTACCCCAGAGTACTTCTGTTGATGCACTCACCTGCTGTTTTGTGCTGACAAAATGCAGTTTGTGTGTGGAAATACCTGCTTTTCTCCCAAACCTGTCATTATTCATTAAAGAGCCTGGCCCTCATCTTTCACACCATAATACAGTTGAATGTTTGCCATGATTTTGCCATGTGCACCTACCCGATTCCTCTCATCAAGGCAAGCAGTGATACCCAGCGAGGTGAAGACATGAGTTAGGGCCAGCCACATGTTTCTGCTGATCAGATTAAAGCAGCCAAACAGTTCTGCTCTCAGCTTCCCTTTTTACCTTCAACCATGGTTAAACTTTCCTTGTCAAAGAGACAAAAGCTGCCAGCATAGCTCAGAACTACTCTTCCAGAGGAGAGGGGCAGGTCTGTGGG